AGAGAACTGACAGGTTCACCTTTGGACAAGAAACTACGTGCGTCACTCCTCATGCTGTGCCAGCATTGGTGGACATGAAAGGAACTTATTTTTCTATCCTAAGCAGAGGTGATGAAGCGCCTAGCAGCTGACTTATACTGCCCATGCACCCGCGGTTGCAGCTGCGAATTACTGAGACTCTTAACCTGGTTACGCTACCACCTATGGGAGAGAATGGGGTGCCCGCAACACGCAGAAATTCTGCAAAACCGAACCAACTGCACGGTCTGCACCCAAAACCTCTTGCACTCTGTGACCTACAGTTGCTTTGGGAGGAGTACCCCTCCTCCCTGTGCCTTGGAATGAGCCCTCAGTTACGGCCCCAATTTTGGGTTCCGCTGGATTTTGGGCTGCGTTAAATTTTACAGAAGGAGCCTGTTGCTTTAACATCTCTGACCATGGTGAAGCTTTTTGACACCTGGCAGCAGAAGTAGAGAAAGTAGCCCATGTACCTGTCTAAACCTGGAACAGATGGGACATGTCTTGGTTGACTGAGTGGCTTCCGAACCTTGGATGGCTTAGAGGACTTTTAATGATGTTAATAGGCCCCTTGCTAATATTGCTTCTTTTCTGCTCCTGTATACCCTGCTTAATGCAATGCTTGAAAAAAATGATGCGTAAAATGATGTTGAACCATGTGAACGTAAGCAGGTACTTGCTTGGTGTTAAATAAGGATCAGGCAGACTCAGTAATGGAGAATAAGAAGGTGAAGTTTATTGCCAGGCAATAAGGACCCAGTTTGGAATCTCTTCCAAAAAGGAACTGGGACCCTGATTAACAGAAATCCAGAGGTCTTATACCCGAGCAGATCACAGCAAATCATAGATCATGAGACAACCATGAGGGATTCACGATATTGTCAGCAAAGAATTAGCCAATTAGCAAGCTTCTTGTCACGCTACCAGCTCCTGGTCAAGCACTGGTCAAGCACGGAGTTCTAGTTCTGCTTTCCGATGCTTGCAGTGACGCTCTGTCTAACCTCTCCCCTAGTTATGACAGGACAGGGAATTTGGAGATTTTGCGGTTTCCCTCTTCCTGTTCTGTGGATTAATTTAGCCTGTATCTGAGGGGATTTTGTACCAGAATCTCTGATTCACGTCTTCCCCTTGTCCAGGGTACACGGATGTTTGTAGGGGAAAGGTCGGCTCCTAACTTTGCTGTTTCAAGCAATATGCAGTTAGCTAAGGCACAGCTTCCCTTGATTCAAAATGGATTATAAAATACTGTAAGCCTTGATTATGTGTGAGCATATATGAATATATTGATTACTGATAACTGATTATATGGATAGCATAGGGGTAGCCCTTCTTCCTTGCCTAAATGTCACGAATGATTCGGCCCCAGATTATAGCACTGACATGAGAATACCAGCCAGTGCCTTGGGACGAGTCGTAAGGCTGTCCAAAAGAAGAGGAGGGAATGAAGGAATGGGTTTCCCAAACCCAAAACTGACTGCAGGCAGTTTGAAACTGCACCAAAATCCCTATTTTTCCTTAGCTAAAATCCATTAACTCGAGCTCTGAGCTCAATGCATAAAGCCCGGCTGTATAGACAAGTGCTGAGAGCCCTCTCCTTTATCAGTTGTGATGGCAACTATGGCCTTCACTGTACCAGTAGTAGAACAGAACAGAGAGAAGACACATATGTGCTTTATCTTACGTCCTGGACACACTCTGACACAGAAACCCAAGTCCGGGAACAAATGCCAGAGTGTGTTCCCGGAGATTATTACCTCTTCCCCAGAGTAGGAAGAGGAAGATCCTTTTATGGTCAGAAGTAGAGGAAGGAAGATCCTTTTATGGTTGAGAGTACCAGAGCAGGAACATATGTGATCTCAACCTGCATACATAGGCTGACGTGGTTGGAAGGAGGGAGAGGGTGTCTGGAAGATATATAAACTGCATGAAACTTGTCATTTCTTTGGACTTGCTGTGGACTAATCACGCAAGTGCCTTCTGCTATCCGGAGAGCAGAATAAACTCTTTCTTTGAACCAACTCGGTGTCATTTTGACTTCCTTCCTCCTGTCCCGGAGCAACACAGACCCAATCGGTCAACTCCAATAAGGCTACAATGGGAAGTCCTGCAATGAAAAGTGCAATGTGCAAATCACTCTCCATTGTTTTTATTGCCTGTGCCATTGGGATTGACCTAGGATTTGACCTGGCAGATTTAGCATGACCAACTTCTTGGTGAGTAGCAGACACAGCCTGTTTAATTATCCTAAAAGGTAAGAAAAATGCAATTCATTATCATCATTATTTCATTCCTATACTGCTTTATGTTTTAAAGAAAAAAAATCATAGCAGTTTGCAACACGTCTAAGCATTAAATAAAACAATCTGGAAATGGGTTTCACATGTAAGTCAGACCAAGCCCAGAGAATAAAACCATCACCATAAGCAGAGAACATGGACTGAGTGCATCTGGTCTTAAAGGAGCCTGAGAGTTTTATTCACTGACTGAACTCCTCTTAGATTTCACCCACTTCCTTCCAAATCACAAAAATGGCACATTTAACACATGTACAAAATTTCAAAAGCAGAATATAAATATATACTCCCTGTTTCATTCCTTTATGCTGCTCTGCCTCTCACAAAACCTGTGTCCTCGGCCCAGGCAAATTCTTGGCAGTCAGGGCATACCAAAACATCTCCAGCTATGGATGTTCTCCCTGCAACTTTGAGAAAGTTGGTGGATTAACATTTTCCCCCTGAGGTTTTACGTTACTCTTGTTGGTGCTGGTAGACTCTTCTGCCTCTTTGTCTGGTTTCCTAACAATTTTAGCATTGCTGCCAAAAAAATCTGAAATGCCCCCCCCCGTACTGTATTTATTGACAAAGGGATTTTGCAGGATTCTTGGGTGCTAAGGGGGGAAAGAGAGAGAGGAGGGTGTATAAACTTTATAGCAGAACAATGTATTTGCTTTGTAGGATTTCCTAAAGCTTTTCACTACGACAGACAGAACTTGGCAGAAGACCAAAGGGTTCCTTTCGATCTCTCAGGGGATTCCTGAGAGCACAGATGGATGACCGAGGCTCAGCTGGCCCTGGAACAGGAAGAGGCCATGCCAACCAAACTGGGAGCAGTGGGGAATTCTGGGAAAACTCTGTGCAGAAGATCCTGGGTGAGGAGGACACCCTCCGCTCAGAGGTGCAGAGCCAGCAGTTGCAGTTCTGCTGCCAGGAGGCCAAAGGACCCCGAGAGGTTTGCAGCCGACTCTACCGCCTTTGCCGTCAGTGGCTGAAGCCAGAAAGGCACACGAAAGCTGAGATGCTGGACCTGGTGATCTTGGAGCAGTTCCTAGCTGTCCTTCCTCCGGAGATGGAGAGCTGGGTGAGGGACTGTGGAGCGGAGACCAGTTCCCAGGCGGTGGCCCTGGCCGAAGGTTTCCTCCTGAGTCAGGCAGAGGAGAGAAAGCAGGTGAGAGAGACTTTCCTCTGGATACTCCCAAGGGGCTCCAAACAGGACAGAAAACATCCCATAATGTTCTGGTGATGGCCCATTCTTTTTCTGCAAGGCATCCATGAAATGAGATCTAACACCCTTCAAGTTTTTGGCCCTGACATTAATTTAATAATCCTTCTCGTCATTCTCTGTTTTGAATCCTTGTTTCTCTTTCAGGGAAAGGTTCTCTTTCCAGAAATGGACCTGGATTCCTGTGAGGCAGAGAGGCCTCCGTTGGACACCAGAGAGAGGCCACTGGGTAAGGAGGAAGGTGGCTTTTCTCCATTCGGTCTCTTTCTGTTGGTTTTCCAACTCATCTGTGGGTTCTTTTCATATTTTATTGGGGGAGATAGTTGGGGCTAAGAGCCCAGAGGAGGGGAGATATATTTTTTCACAACTAACATCTGAAATGCACCCAAATATCCAAATGCACACAGCAGATGAGACTTTCTCAAAGGCCCCTGTGTAGTTTAGATGCCCTGATTCACCTGTGAGAGAATCAGGCACTCTGAGCCTCCCCCTTACCTTTTCCCTCTTGCAGGTGACAGAATGATGCCCGCAAGCCCTCTTCATCCATCTTTTCTTGGGGACAGAAAGGAAGCAGTGGCTGTGGATCCAGATCAGGTCAGGGGAAGCTGCCTTGTGGGGACAGAGGTCAAGGAGCAGAACAATGTCGTAGATCAAGACGTGGTGGTGAACAATTTTGTTGTCTCATAGGAGGACATTTCCCTTTTTCTTTTAGGGTCCAGTGTGCTTTGAAGATGTTGCTGTTCGTTTCACAGATGAGGAGTGGGAGTTGCTGGATCCTGACCAGAGAGCTCTGCATAAAGATGTCATGGAGGAGAATCATGGGATCGTGGCCACTCTTGGTAAGGATCTCTTTGCAATCAGAATATCTGTTTTTAAATTCAAAACAGCTCTCTGTGATGAACCTCATATATTTTCACAGAACTCAACAGCGTCCCCTTAAGACTCCTGGGATTACAATATTGCAGCTTCTAAACAAGGATCTGTCTGGTCTGAACTCCCCAGGCCATTTTAACTGTAAACTTCAGAGTTGTTAGGGAAGTTGAAGTAGCTTCTGTCAGGTTTTCACTTTTTGTTTCTCCTCCCGTTATTCTTTGGTTGTCGAAAGAGGAGACTGACATTGGAAATGGAGGGATGCCATGATGGAGCCAAACAAAATTCATTCAAGAGAAGAGCCAGGCTTATCGAATCACAGGTTCCCCTAAGGACGTCGGTTGATCCCCGTTAATTAATGCGAGCAACCCTTCAGAAAACCATCCATCTAACCCACTTGTGTTATTCCTCTGTTACCAGCATTCCTCTATTATAAGCATTCTTCATTAATTTCTCCCTGAGTCTCTAATCCATTTCTCTTCATTGTAGATGGACTGGAAATCAAGAACAAGGGTGACCATAACAAAATCCCCACAATGCAGAAGCTGAATAAATATCTTGAATGTGGGAAAAGTTCCTATTCCACTTCCCATCAAAGAAATCCCATTGGGAAGAAACCCTATCAGTGCATGGAATGTGGAAAGAGCTTCAGTCAAAAGGTCAATCTCACTTCCCATCAAAGAATTCATACAGGGGAGAAACCCTATCAGTGTGTGGAATGTGGAAAGAGCTTCAGTAAGAGCTGCAATCTCACTTCCCATCAAAGAATTCATACAGGGGAGAAACCCTATCAGTGTGTGGAATGTGGAAAGTGTTTCAGTCAGAGAGCCAATCTCTCTTCCCATCAAATAATTCATACAGGGGAGAAACCCTATCAGTGTGTGGAATGTGGAAAAGGCTTCCGTCAGACCGCCAGTCTCACTTCCCATCAAAGAATTCATACAGGGGAAAATCCCTATCAGTGTGTGGAATGTGGAAAAGGCTTCCGTCAGACCGCCAGTCTCACTTCCCATGAAAGAATTCATACAGGGGAGAAACCCTATCAGTGTGTGGAATGTGGAAAGAGCTTCACTAATAGCTCCGATCTCACTTCCCATCAAAGAATTCATACAGGGGAGAAACCCTATCAGTGTGTGGAATGTGGAAAAGGCTTCCGTCAGGGCTCCCATCTTTCTTCCCATCAAACAATTCATACAGGGGAGAAACCCTATCAGTGTGTGGAATGTGGAAAGTGTTTCAGTCAGAGAGCCAATCTCTCATACCATCAAAGAATTCATACAGGGGAGAAACCCTATCAGTGTGTGGAATGTGGAAAGAGCTTCAGTAAGAAATACAGTCTCACTTGCCATCAAAGAATTCACACAGGGGAGAAACCCTATCAGTGTGTGGAATGTGGAAAGAGCTTTAGTCGCAGCAGCAATCTCACTTCCCATCAAAGAATTCATACAGGGGAGAAACCATATCAGTGTGCGGAATGTGGAAAAAGCTTCAGTCAGAGCATCAGTCTCACTTTCCATCAAAGAATTCATACAGGGGAGAAACCATATCAGTGTGCGGAATGTGGAAAGAGTTTCAGTCACAGCCACAGTCTCCTTTACCATCAAAGAATTCATACAGGGGAGAAACCCTATCAGTGTGTGGAATGTGGAAAGAGCTTCACTAATAGCTCCGATCTCACTTCCCATGAAAGAATTCATACAGGGCAGAAACCCTATCAGTGTGTGGAATGTGGAAAAGGCTTCCGTCAGGGCTCCCATCTTTCTTTCCATCAAAGAATTCATACAGGGGAGAAACCCTATCAGTGTGTGGAATGTGGAAAGTGTTTCAGTCAGAGAGCCAATCTCTCTTCCCATCAAAGAATTCATACAGGGGAGAAACCCTATCAGTGTGTGGAATGTGGAAAGAGCTTCAGTAAGAAATACAGTCTCACTTGCCATCAAAGAATTCACACAGGGGAGAAACCCTATCAGTGTTTGGAATGTGGAAAAAGCTTCACTGATAGCTTCAAACTCACTTCCCATAAAAGAATCCATACAAAGGTCGGAAAAACCATTATATAGCTTTAGGAGCCAGTCAAATCCGCACCTTTTTAACCAGGCCTTGGGCTGATTGACATCTAATGCCCTTTTAACATGTGGTGTTTTGTGTTTTTATGTTGTAACATTCCTGAGGCCTGTGGGTGTAGGAATAGGCACTAACTCTTAAAGGCCTAGGGGTCTTTGCCCCCCCCCATATTATATGGGAGGAGGCCACCCCCGGTTTTCTTTTCTTTTTTTTCCCAAATGCAAGTTTTTATTCCTCTGCAACTTGCCATACAATTTCTTTTTCAATTTGCCCTCTTAAAAAATAAAAAAAATGCACAAAGGTCATGAGAAAAACATTTTTTTCAACTCATGAGAAGAAAGACATTTTTTTTTCAACTCATCATAAATCATTTCCCAGTATTATTTTACCTTTCTACATGCCCACCACATATGAAAAAAGTTCCTCCTAATTCTTTACATTTCCAACACATATCTGATTCAACTTTACACATCTTAGCCAACCTGCTCAGAGTTAAATGCCATCTATGAATCGTTTTCAAATAGTTCTTTTTCAGAGAATAACACACGGTAAATTTCAAATCTCTTTTCCAGAGTTTCTTGCAGAGGCTTAGGCTTGTATTGTGTCCTATATCTATTGACCAGTGTGTCATTGATGCTTTAACTAGCTTGTCTTTTGTTGTGTAATGGGATGTCTCTCTCTCTCTCTCTGCTTCCCGTGTGGCTTAAAATTATTGCTTAACTGAATTAAAACATCAAAAGATAAGAAAACGAACGGGGCTAAAAGAGGATTTCAGCTAAATCAGTTATAAGTGAATTAACTTAAGTAGACCTTATAAACCCCTATTGTTGAAAATTATTAATTGTATTAATTGGAGTGAGAGTACTGAAATTGATTTATTTGATTTATTTGATTAACTGATTTGCTGGTTACCAAAAATGTGTTAATGGAAGTGTATTAATCTGTATTGATCTGTATCAATTTGCTTAATCACAAGAATTGGTTAATTGGTGGAGATATTTAAGGAAATTGAGAAAAAAGTATATGAATATTGTGTTGGGGAAAGAAGTTGAAGAGAGACATCTTGTGGTATAATAGACAATAGGTTTCTTTCATATATAAAAGGCATTAGAGGGGGATTGTACGCCCCCTAGGGGTGAAATTGAGTATTGCATTACAAAAATTATGAAAAATTATGAAAAATTTCAAAAAAAATCAGAAATTTTGAAAGATTTTGAAAATTGATTTAAAATGGCAGGAAAGAATGGCAAAAAGATAGGGGGAACACCGGGGGAAAGGAAAATATCCCAACAAGAAGAAATTAAAGATTTGGACATTTTGTGGTTGAAGATAAAGGAAGAATTTAAGCAAAGTGAACAACATATGGAGAAGAAGTTAGGAGAAGTGTAGGAAATGCTAGATAAAAAAATAGAAGGGGCAGTAGGAGAACTCTCAAACAAAATCAAAGACTTGACAGTTAGATCAAAGACAATAGAAGAGTCAACTAAAAGAATCCAAAAGGAAGGAGAACAAGAGAGAGACAGATAAGATTAAAGAGGAGTTAGGAGACCTGAATAAAAGTCAGGACCAAGTATGGGACAGTCTAGCCATGTTGGAGATGAGGCAGAAGCAAATGAATGTAAAATTTAGAGGAGTAGGAGAAGAAATGAATGAGAACATCAAAGTTAAAATGATCAAAGAGCTGGCAAGTTGGCTGGACATGAAAGAAGAAGAAGTTGAATATACAGTGGAAAACGCATTTAGAATAAAAGTAAGATCTTTACAAGCTAAATCAAAGAAACTACCAGGAGAGTGTCTAGTGATATTTAACTTCTTAGATATGAGGAATGTGATACTGAAAACGAGTTACCAAAAAAAGTTGATAATTGATGGCAGGCCGATTATTATCTTCAAAGAAATTCCTACCAGATTTTTATGTAAGAGAGATGGCTATAAACAACTAGTGAGTGTTTTGAAAAGAAACGGTATACAACACAGGTGGGAGTTCCCGGAAGGGATCTCCTTTTATTACAAAAATAAAAGATTCAGGTTGACGGACATTCAAGAGGTGAAGAAATTTTCAAGGAGATAGGAGAAGGAGCTTGGAAAGGTAGAGGATAAATTTGGAGAAAGGGATTCAGATTTAGAGGAGAGAAGAAGGAAAAGGGAGAGAGAGGAAGAGAAAGAAAGAAGAGGAAAAGAAGAAGAGGAGGAGGAAACAGAAGAAAGAGAAGTGGGAGAAGAGGAGGAGGAGGACATAGGCGACAGAACCACTCAAATTTAATTTGTTACTACGGTTAATTCGGTTAAATAATAATGACGTTGAAATTAATAACCTGGAATGTGAATGGTTTAAATGAGAAATCTAAGAGGAATAAAATTGAAAATGTATTGAAGAAAAAAAATCTCGACATAATTCGTTTACAAGAAACTCATATTGCCAAAAAGCACAAATATATTTTGAAAAATAAAAGGTTAGGGGTGGAATTTATTGATTCTGATGTGAGTAAAAAAAGAGGGGTGGTACTCTATGTCAAAGAAAAATGGGAACCTAAATTAATTTGTAAGGATGAGGAAGGGAGAATATTGGGGGTACAAATCAATCATCAGGGTGAAAAACTTAATGTGGTTGCCATTTACGCGCCAAATACAAATAAGGCAGAGTTTTATAGGAAATTGGAAGAGAGATTATTTGAAATAGAGGATCAAAAAATAATTTTATTAGATTTCAATGGAGTGGTACAGTCAGAATTGGACAGGCTAACAAAGAAGAAGAAAGGTAATCAAGGGAAATTACCAAGGTCCTTGTTCAATTTGGTGGAAAATCTGGACTTAATAGATGTTTGGAGAGATAAACATCCAAGTACAAAGCAATTTACATTCTTTTCGGAACCTCACCAGAGTTGGGTGAGGATAGATCAGGTCTGGACCTCAAGGTACCTAACTCCAAGAATTTCAAAATGTGAAATACAGCCAAGAACTCTAGCAGACCATAACCCCATAGTCTTAGAAATAAAAGGTAAAGTGCAAAGTATATATAGATGGAGGATGAATGAAAATCTTTTTGAGAACTCCGAAGTAATTGAAAAAGCTAAAGACTGTTGGGTTGAAATAACGACAGACAAGTAGCGAGTGTCATCTGGGAGGCATCTCTCGAGCATGTCTCGGGGAGTCCCTTTTATTGAATATTGCAGCATTGCCACATACGTGATTGTTGCTGATTGGTTAACACAAGTACAAAGCAAAGGGTTGCATATAGGCATTAATCACCGATAGATTAGAGGCTGGGAAAGGGAGCACAGAACTAGACAGGCATGAAAACCTCCTAATTAAATTATAACCAATGATTAATAATAAGACTTAAAACAATTACTAATGATTGATATAGGAAACTTAAAGGAGCATAACAATCACATTCCGTACATGTGATCAACTATGCATTAAGAATGGGTCAAAGTACAATGTTTTTCCTGAACTCAATATGAACTGAACATTCTAAGGTGATGAGTAAATGTCTTAGTATTAGAACAGTTTGTGCAGCATCATGTGCAGAAGCGAAGCTTAGAAGCAAGACTTCCCATCAGGCCACAGTCATGAGCAGAATCAGAGCATCCCATCATCTCCCCCTTTCTTTTTTTATTTAAAGTTGAGTGGGACAATAATACTTCGGGATACGTGGTTTGCGAGCGCATGCCCGAAATAAGTCCGTCCACATCTCCCTAATGTTTACTGTTGGTGCTGCCACTTCGCAAAGTAGGCAGCAATGACTTTATTAGGTGGCTGAGGAGGATGAAAACACTGAGACCAAAGGCGTATGAGACCAGGGATGCATTGGATGAAACAACATAGCAAAATTAATATACATACTATGATAATAGCATATTGAAAAAGAATGCGAAGCCAATTCAAATTTAGCAACCAGGCAGTGAGCCACCGGGTAAATGAATCCCAGAGGCCAGAAAGTCCAACGTCCTGTTTGATGTGATGTGTGAGATTTTGCAAATGGGAGATTTGCTTTTGAATAGCTTTGGAATTGTCAGTAATATTGAAACAACACATGTCATCCACTTGTTCACAACCATAATGATGAAGCATTAGCAAATAATCTATCGCGGCACGATTCTGTAAGAGTCCATGCTGGAGTTCACTCTGTTCTTTATTCAAAAGGTGAAGAGCTTGTGAGGTAAAGTTCAGTGCTTTTGCTGCGGAGCAAGCTAAAGAGTTAATATTCCTGCTATTCCGTACAGCCAATCCAGGGACTCCTAAGAGAGAGACAGCTAGAGAAATATATTCAGATCTGCTAGGGAGAGAAACAGAATCATCACAATCATTAGTCAATTCCACAGAGCGGCGATATCGAGACCGGGACAAATGATGCTTTTTGGGTAAAATGATAGACAAGCGGCTTAAGCAGCAAGGTGTGCCATGCTAATATTTGCTGGAATATAATTGAATGGTAGCTTGTAATTGTTGCAGCAGGTCTCTGCCCCACAAATTAAGGTGGATTTTCAGCACACAGGGCTGGATGTATGCAATGGTTTCAGAGCTATCGGGTAGAGAAACAGGCAGCCACTGTACGCTTTTAGAAGAGGTTTGAGGTCCACCCACACCCCAAACTGCAGAGGCAGACTGAAGGGGCCACGTGGGGTCCCAGCAATTACTGGAAATGACAGAAATGTCTGCGCCTGTGTCAATCAATCCTTCCAGAACTTTGCCATTGATTTTATACTTACGAAGAAGTTTCTGTTCACCGATCCTCTGGATTACAGCTAATAGCTGCGGAGAGAGAGGAGAAAGCTGGTGCAAATTACTATCCATAATAGAAGCCGTAGGATGAGAAGGGAGCACTACCAAATGCACCCAAGACTCACCCTTTTTTAACTGCATGGGCATATGGCTCCAAAGTTGAACCATGATTGTGCCCACATAGTCAGGATCTAGGACTCCTGGAATAA